TGGGGAGACTATCTACATGACCAAATGATTTCCCTTTAGAGACCGAATTCTGAAAAGCATCTCCTTCAGGGCCTTCGTTCTGAAAAGCACCCCCTAGAGACCGAATTCTGACGAGCATCTCCCTTCAGAGACTGAATTCTGGTGAGCATCTCCTTCCGAAGTTATTCTTAAAAGCATTCCCCTTCAGAGACTGAATTATGAAAAACATCTCCTTTAGGGCCTTCATCCTGAAAAACATTTTCCTTCAGAGATTGTCTGAAAAGAATTCTTCAGATAAAATCGAGACATAGATTTCATTCTGATACTCCCCAACGCATCAACAGTTACTTTGGATGGCATCTGTAAGTCCATCTCTGATGACACTCTATCAATTTTCCGAATGGCATATTTAAATCCCATTCAAGCAAAACTATCAACCAACAACGTTACTTCATGCACCGACGAGTGCAAATTTCTCGGCACTTAAGTGTTTAATCCTCTTCCACCTTCAGATCACGAATGACGGCCATGCCAATCTAACTCTTCAGGTTTAAGAAGATTGAACAGGGGCAGTTGTTATACCCCAAAATTTTCCCTCCCATTTTTGAAGATAATTGATTCAAGACACCTCCTCATACTCCTTGGATTCTCAATTGCTCAAGAATACTCAAGGGTTTGAGCATACAAACACTTCTCCTAAGCAATTGATCTACAACTAGGGTTTTGTATTTCTCAAAGAAATTTTAGCTTCTAATGCCTCAAGTGGGTTCCATGATTCTTAATATGCTTCAAGGTACCCTCATGAAAATTTTCAAGCCTTGCATCACAAGTTCGCTCAGTCAATTGCTCAGATGAGTGAAAATCAACTGTATTGGACAAAAAGTCAACTGCGGTCAACATACAATCAAACTTCAAGATTTTTGGTCAACGTCAATATTTTGAACTCACATTCATCATTTGATCAAGGGTTGATCATGATTCATAAAGGAAACTCAAGATTCATCAAAAGTCAAAAGTTACTAAATTAGGGTTTTCTTAAGGAGAAGTCAACTAAACTTTGACCAAGCATAACTTCCACATGCTTCATCACCAAATTATAACAAATGCCCAATTTTAATGAAATTTAATTCTCTACAACTTTGTCTCTCTAAGCCGAAGTCTAAAAATGCTTCATTTGAGAGATATGAGCCAAAACATTACAGGTTATTTTAAAAGTCAACAAAAAGACACTTCTTGTCAAAGAAATTTACATTATGTTAAAATCTTCAATGGGAAAAATGACCAACATGAAAGTTGTAGGATATATCTTGAGGTTTCCAAAAAGTCTAAGATCACCTTCATACGATGAAAATTGAGTGAGATATGATGGGTGCAAATTTAGTAATTTTTTAGAAATGCATGAAGTCCACTTTGAGCAAAATTGCATTTTTGGGCTAATGAGCCTATGTTTTTCGGTTCAAATGTGTTCATGAAATGTTTAAGGACCCATAAATACATTCATGCATAATCTTTTATTTTTATTTCATTTATTTTTATTTTTATTCATTTAAAAGAAAAATAAATCAAATAAAATAGTAAATTAATGGACCAAGGCATGTGGGCTTTTGTTTTGGATCATTTTGAAGCCCAAGATCACATATTAAACTTTCCAAAACCGTGTGAATTCAAATATGGAAAGAATATTCAAATTTGGAAGCTTGAAAACATGTTTTATCATGTTTGATTCACAGTTAACTCCTCAAGATTGCCATTCATTTTTGTTGACTTAATATGATGCTTATAAATAGAGGACATCATTAGTGAAGAGAGGATACAAAATTCTGCCCCAAAAGCTAGTACAAAAAATCACCAAAACATTCAAGAATTAGGGCATATTTGAATTCTATATTTCAGTGGTTTTTAGTCCAAACCAAGGACTGGACCATCATCCTGACATTCCCAGGAACACGCCCAGATCAAGAACCAAGTAGTTCCACGCCCAAGATCATCATACTCACACTCACCGTTTGGGTAAGGTTTTGAAATTCAAATATATTATTGTATGCATGCTTAATTGTTTTTTGTGTGTCCAAACATATTCTCCAGGATGATTAGAACAGGTTTAAGCCAAAATATGCAAGGTTGAGCGCATGAATCGTGACTTGCCATTGTTAGGGCATAGTCACGACGAAGCTTCGAATCTTATGATATAGGACGATTCAGGAACAACTAAGGCCACCAATCGACTCACAACATGTGATTTAGGGGGGGGGGGGTAGGTCCAAGGATTCAAGCTAGCTTTTCTGTTTTGCAAGTTTTCAAAAAAAAAATCATCGAAGAAGATGATGCTTCTCCTCCGTGTGTGGTGGCCGACGCAACCAAGGGCTTGCGTGGATCCTCTCTATTCATCCATTCAAATGCCTGAACCCCACTCATACATGCATTTTTGTGTTCTCTGATTTCAATATTCTTTTTATTATATAATGTTTTGTTTGTATTTGTATAACGCGAAACAAGTGATGACCTAGCGGTAAGGAATCAAGCGTGTGAAGAGAAGGGAGGGAGTTCGAACCCAAGCGATGCCAAAACCCTTTTTATTTATTTTCTTCATTTCCCTTTTTTTAGTTATTTGTTAACCTTTTTTTAAATCAAAACTTATACATAAAAAAATCAGAAAGAAACCATATAATAAAATCAACAAAAAATTAGTTTTAGGGTGTAAATTAATTAATTGATTTTTTGGACAGTTAGATTTTAGGCTTTTATTAATTAAAATCAATTAGAATTAGGATTTTAATTATTATTAATTAACACTTGAGTTATTTTCATAAAATCACCAAAAATATGAACCTAGATTTTTAGGGCATTTAAACTTTTTTTCCAACTTTTTCTTATTCTTTTTGCTATTTATTTTCTTAGAAAATTGTATAGGTCGCACAAATCCAACACATGCAATCTTACAAGCTTTATTGTTTCTCAACAATACAAATCCACCATCTTGGTCACATAAGTCTTCGAATAAGTCTTTGTTTGGAGTCATGTGCCAAGTGCACCCAAAATTCATAATCCACTCCTTCGACGGATTGCTGCTCGAAACCACAAGAACATCAGATGAGTCGAAATCATCTTGAACAATAGTTGTGTTGCCATTATCCTTTCCTCCATGATCTTAAAGGCGTTTAGGACACACTTTCCTTGTATGAACTTCCTTCTTACACTGATAACATTGAAACCAGATACCTCGCCACTATAAGACTTCAACTGACTTTTACCTTTCTTCTTGTCGAACTTACCATCCTTTCACAAGCATTTTACCTTAGCGGCCAAACCTTCACCAAACCGTCGAAGGTTTATGCTCTTTTCATTCATTCTAGTCCTTAGAATACAAGGCTGATTGAACTTCTTCAAAGGTCAGAGACTCCCTTCCATATAAGAGAGTTTCTTTGAAGTGAGCATGTGTTCTGGGCAAACGCACAACAACAACATCGCTTGATCTCTATCATTGATCTTCACATCAATATTTTCAAGATCAAGAATCAGCTTGTTGAACATATCCAACTGCTCAGCCAACATTTTATCTTCAATCATCTTGAATGAATACACAACTTGCTTCAAGTAGAGTCGTTTTACAAGCGATTTGATCATGTAGAAACTCTCAAGTTTCACCCATAACCCTGCTACCATCGTCTCCTTTGTTACATGTAGAAGAACCTTATCACCAAGGCTCAACAAGATTGTGCTGTGGAATTTCTCTATTGTCGCCGTCTTCTCAGGTGTCGTTAACGCAACGTTCATAGCTGCTTCTCCCTTCAACGCTTCCAAATAACCCTGTTGAACCAGTATGTCTTTTGTCTTTAAGCGCCACAGACCAAAATCATTTAATCCAGTGAATTTTTCAATCTCATACTTTGTTGAAGGCATCTTATCCACGCTCACCGCACCAATTTTTTTGTGAAAAACGATGCCAGAATCACAAAGTATAATAGGTTTCTTTCGGCAAGAAACCCACAAGGGTAAGAAAAAGTAGGCAAGCAATAAGAACAACAAATATTGGTTATAACTGCTTTTCTTTAGTTTCTCTTAATTCAAGATTACAAGTACACAAGAATAACAAATAGCTCTCTCACCCTAAATTAGAATTTGTAGTATGCAATATTGAGAGACTAGTATGCTATTTATAATAAACCTAACATACTAAACTAATGAGTTTTTTCACAAATACCCATTATAAGTTAACTTAGGCTACAAGCTAACATAAACAATTAAACATAACAAACATGCCCAATTCGATGCTAACAATCCTAGCATTCTTCGACCACTGCATGCTTGACCCTTCTTCGACTATAGCATACAATACTTCAACACCAGCATGTGAACAATCTTCAACGTCATTGCTAAACTCCGTCGAACTGTCGAAACCAAAAAACTACCTTCGACCAACTAAAGTTCTATTCTAATATCTCATAGATAAAGTTTCCATTATTTTACTTACGCGTTTTATATCAAATCGAACTTTGAAAACCTCCCATTTTATTATCATAGCACGTTAATTGTTTTGTTAAAAAAAAAACAATTTTTGTGAATACAAATTTAATTTTATTATTTTAATAGAATTTAGTATACTTACTCTATCATGCGGACGGCCATTTGATTAGATATCAACGGCAAGATATGTGATAAAAAGCGTGCATCTTTTCCTTCAACGCTTATCATTGGGACTTCTTCGTAAGCCTTGCAGACTGTATAGAACACATTCCACACACAAAAAGTGCATAGTAATGATCAATGTGTGACAATATCAAGATTTTATTTAGTATATGTAGATCACAAATTCAAGCTAACAAGTCCAAGCCTCAATTTCAAATTGAAAATATACTATACATAGTTTACTATTGGAAAGGAGCATCTAAAACGCAACTCCTCAACAATCATTCAGTCATACCCAAATACTCAAAACCATACTACCTATCTATAAATTCCTTAATAACTTCTCTTGTAACAATTATATACACACACATCTAAACTTTGTAGAACTTAAATGCTCATCTACATTGACCAATATCATTATCTGAAATAGACTGAGGAATACCATCCAGCAAGCAAAAAACTGGAGGAATAGTTAATGTCTCTGAATTTCCATAAGCATTCCAACAAAAAGCATCACTTAATATATCTCCTTGAGATGGAAGAAGCTCAACATCAGAGAGAGTCAAGTTTGTGCAAGGGACGGAGTCGCTGCACGCAAAATGAATAGGAGGATGTTTGATATCATAAGTTCCTTTTATGCTTGTGTAAACTATATCTGATACAAAAACTGCAGAGGTTTTGTTGCTGCAATCATTACTGAGACAGTAAAATTGATCAATTATAAGTGGATTTTTTACTGTGTCCATGTGAATGTTCTTAAATGTTACTCCTGATACTGATCCTGATCCACCTTGCCATGTCTTGATTCTTACCCCGTTATCTGACATTTTTATGGTTGATTCTCTTACTGTTATGTTTGATACACATGCTTTTGAGTTGTGGTTTCCCAAACTTCCAATGCTGAATAAAGTAAAACAAAAATAATAAGATTAAGCTCAAATAATAAACTAGTACAATAAATCAACCAGTTTAGTTCGTTGCACTGTTAAGACACATATAGTCATTATAACCGTCTCAAATTTTTGGAGGCTCTATGTAAACTAATTAAAATTTAATCATGAAAAAATAAATAGAGGTTTTATTTAACCATGATATGCCTGATAATATTGTTTGAGGTTCTATTTTCTATCCATAATTGTCTAGTGATAAAATTTGGACCAAGAGCAATAGTCTGTCTTGTACGCCTTTAAATACAACTCTGCTAGTCAATCATGTTTAAACCGTAAGATAAAGATTGGATGATTAAGATTTTAAATTTAATTTTTTCAATCTATAATGTCTGAGCTTGAAATTTGGTGTCTAGATGTGGCCGGCTACATCTAATTATAAAGTTGTGACAAATAGTAGTCATCTTTCATAGTGTACAAGGTGGATTACTGTACAATATCTAAAATGTGACACAGTTAAGTTGTGATTAAATAAAATCTCGTAAAATATTTGTCACGTTTAAAGTGTAATAAAATAGAACCTCTATTTGTTTTATGACATTTAAGCCGTGACAAGTTTATAAAAGACCTCCGAAAGTTTAAGATGGTTTTGCTCGACAGCAAGTAGCCGGAGTTACGAGATCCATATTGGAATGTAACTTTTCATGAAAACAAATAATAAAATTACCTTATCCCATGACCTGGTCCACATGTAATGTTTTTAATATCAACATCAAAGCAACCAGTTCCAATGGAAACACAATCATCACCTATAAAAGAAAAATTCATGAAAAGTAATTGTTATTAATACCTTGTGATGCTGCAAAATACAAAGGAACTAAAGGATTATTTTGTAACTAACCATTGGAAACAATAGAGTTATATATTTTGACATCATTAGTATTTTCTATGTGTATTCCATCAGTGTTGGGGCTTAAAGCTGGAGCTGTTATGATAATTGATTCCACATAAACAGTTTGGCAGCCATCAAATCTGAAATGGAATTGAGGGCTGTTTTTTATCCTAAGTCCTTTTACAGTCAAGTTCGAACTCAAGAAAAACCTTATAGCCTGCAAAATAGAAGCTACATAGTTACATTCAGATGATCAATTTCAATCATACATAAACTATATAATGCATAAGTTTTTGAAACCTTACCACTGGGCTGTCACAAGGTCCTGGTAATGTTGTTCCATTAGGCCCCTGTCGAAGAATTGTTATTTACGGATCGGCTAGTGTTTTAAGCATCAAAATTTATTTTGCTCAAGATTTTAAGTTACATTAGTATATTTTACCTTGTGAGGCTTACAAGGAAGATCCCACCATTTTTGTCCTCTGCCATCAATTGTACCACTTCCTTCAAGTGACATACCGTTGATTCTATAAAAGACTAACCATTGACGTCTACTGTTGTTTTTTGGCCAGGATTCTGGTCCATCAGGTGTCATAAGAGTGCCATCAACCTTCTCAATATACACCAACAAAGTAATCAGTTAAGGCATATCAGTTGTTAGTTTTGCAGAGAGACATGTGATTGCAGGGACACGAGTTCTAACCCACAACATCCCACTTATTCATTTTTAAGGGGTGAAACATGAAATTTGCAAACAAATTTTACTTTTTCATCGCTAATTTTCACTACTTTTCAACCATTTTTAATAGTGCTATAAGTGATTTTCATAAAGTATTTTAGAGAACATATGAAAAAAAGTTGATATAAACAGCACTAAGTACATTACCTTTAATACTAAGCCACCTTGACAAGGACCTGTGAAAATAGTAGATTGAACAATGAAAGAGAAACCACTAGGAACAATGATAAAATTAAGTGGTAATTCACTTTGACAAGCAGTGTCCCAAGCCATTTTAAAAGACTCGGTATCATCGGTTATTCCATCTCCAATAGCACCAAATGTTCGTACATCGAATACACCAGATACATTTTGGCAATTATTATGATCACTAGTAGGGGGAGGACTAGGAGGTTCTTCCAGAGGAGGAGGAGGAGGAGGACTAGTATATGTTGAAGGTAGTGGAGGAGGAGCACTAGTATATGGAGGAGGAGGACTAGTATATGGTGAAGGTAGTGGAGGAGGAGCACTAGTATATGGAGGAGGAGCACTAGTATATGGTGAAGGTAGTGGAGGAGGAGCACTAGTATATGGAGGAGGAGCACTAGTATATGGTGAAGGTAGTGGAGGAGGAGCACTAGTATATGGAGGGGGAGCACTAGTATATGGTGAAGGTAGTGGAGGAGGAGCACTAGTATATGGAGGAGGAGCACTAGTATATGGTGAAGGTAGTGGAGAAGGAGGTATTGAAATTTCAGATGGTGGATTATGAGAATGTGAGTAGTGTTTGTGTTTTGTATGGGAATGGTGTCTAGCTTCAAGAGAAAGAAACAAAGTAAGAAAATATATAGAGAATAATAGTATTAAAATAGGAGAGTGCCTCATTTTGAAATTTAATTAGTTTCTACTACTTGAGACTAAAATAAAATAAAAAAATTCTACTAAAAACTAAGAAACTTGATACTAAGACACACCAATTGGCTTATAGTGAGTGTTAAGTGTAAAGAACTAGATGAAAAGAAGAAAAATAAAAGGCACAAATAGTAACCCTTAGTTTGGGGAAGTTGAAAGAAACCAATGAAGATTCTATCTTCTTTGTTAAAGTGACTAGTAGGAGCACTAGAACACAAGTTGCAACAAGTTTAATAAGAGTTGGATGAAATGGAATATACCTGCAGAGTAAGAAAGGTTTGGGTTACTATATATAATAAGAAAAGTGTAGTGGACAAAGTGGTAAGTTTTTGATGTGAATATTACCAATTTTTTAATGGCTTTAGAAGTGGGAACCGACAAATATACCTTATAGGTATTGGCCTTACTTTTGAGGATGTGGAGAAAGCATTTGGCAATTTTGAAAAGAGCAAAACGGAATAACCAGAAATCAGGCTTGGTGGGTATAGTGTGGACAAACCTATCATGTTCTTCCCATATCTATAATAATTTTTTTTTTGTTCTGTCTCAACTATAACAGATTTATCAAGGATACTGTTTTAAGGAATAGAAACTAAAAAATTGAAGTATTTAGTATTGAAAATAAATATAAAGAAGTAAATATTTTTTTGATTAAAGGCTTCTCAATATTAGGATAAATTTTTTTACACTTGGGCCTTAAGCCCATTAGAGCTAGCCGGTTTACAAGATTTTCTAATCTTTCTAACACAAACCCTAACTAGAGTATGAGTCGTTTCATTTTTCTCTCTGTGAATACTAAGTAGCTTGGTCCATCACCACCTTCATAGCCATGGCTTTCGCTACAAGGGGATCTCTATCACCCTGCATCCTACACGAGATTTTGATTATGGTGTGACCTTCATCGTTCCTAAAGATAGCTTATAAAGCCCAGGTTCCATCTTCTATTAGACTTGCACCCGTGTTACTCTTCGACCAACCTTTCCTGGAGGTATCCACCTAGTATCCTTGTTCATTGTGTCTTCAATACCGATGTTTATCTTCTTCCTTTCATTTGTTGTTTGTTGACTAATGTTGTTTCCAGATATAAGGTTCCTCATGGTTTCCTACGTTGTACTATGTAGGTAAATATGATCTTGAGCTTTTTCAGTAATTTTATCCTTTTTATCCTTTTGCATGTTCATATTCTGACATTTAACTAACTCTTGCATGTCAATCTTTCCTTCATTTCCAATTACCTTCGTCTCTTCATCTTTTGTTTGATTGTTGTTCATCATTGTGCTATTTCCATAAGCTGTGTGACAATTGGGCTTGATCATGTTGCTATGATTGTTAGCAGTTCCCTGGTGATGAAACTGATTTCTAATACGAAGCTCAATTTTCTAAATCTCATCCTTGTCTCTATTTATCAATTCATCTTTATTACTTTTATATTTGGTCTGATCTATAATGTTGTTGTTTCCTTTTCCAGCTATCTCTCCCTTTTTATTCAAACGTATTTGAGGTTCATCCTTCTCCAGATAAGTATTGTTAAACCCATGCTAACCTTTTCCTTTACCATTGTTATGATTTATGACATTAGAAGCTTGTTTTCTCCATTCTTCTAAGGAGGCTCCTTTCTTGTTGGAATAAGTTTGGTTTGTCAACTAATCTTTGAAGTTTTGATGATAACAGATGCATTAGTATAGAGAACAATTTTGTATTTTAATGGTTTATTAAAGTGTGCATATTTTATTCTTAGACTCTGGAGTCTGAGTTTGCAAGTTTTAGACTTTGGATGTAACACCTTCTAATCCCACATAGCATAAATAGCATAACCAGAGTAAAATAACATGCATCTCAAAGAGGGCGTCACATTTTGAATTCACAAAATATCCAAGAAATTCAAACGTGCATACTGGTCATGATCATAACACGTATTCAAACTTCATGTTTTTAAAATCATGCACATCACAACAGAATAATTCTTTACTCAAATAATAATAATAATAATAATGATTATATCCCATACTATAATCATAAATTCTCATAACAAGTCATGGATCTAAAATCATTAGGCACTGAGGCCACTCAACATAAACTCTCAACATACAATTCAAATAAGAGAAATAACAATATCTCTTCAAATAAACATGAGTTCATCACACTTCGTATAATTATCTATACAACATGACTTCACCAATACAAGTACCAAGACAATTATATCCAAGTAGAATAATTCAGCAATCATCACATACATTACAATCATCATCAAAGTCATGATTAAACTAATTATCACACACATTACGCATTCAAAGCAAAACATCACATAACAACAAATGTGACTCCAATATGACTCAATGCGACTCATGTATGTGGTCCCATCGTGAACATCAAGTTCTCCTCGCCCCCGATTCAATATTTAGAACCAGAGTCACGCTTCCGATCCAGACAAGACCAAAGTCCACCAATATGAACATATAGTTCACCGCTTCTATTTTCACACAAGGATCAAAGCAACCAATATGAACATATAATTCACCGCTTCTATTTCCATATAAGGATCAAAGTAACCATCCGGAGTTCAATCTCCTCATGCATGCATGTGCAAACATAACCAATTATATGCAAATTAAGATTATCACCAAATCTTAATCATACCACATATCACAATAATTCATCAAAATGAATTATCCACCGTTGCACAAACACACAAATATCATCAACACAATGCAATCATATAACATTCATCAATCACACATATCACGAATAGCAAACAATGCCAAAACATATTATTTCCATTCATCATCCATTCATGACACATAACAAATAATATCCAAACTATTCTTTCAATCATCCAATGCCAAAAAACCTAGTTCTATCTTATAGTTTATTATGTTAGTTTTCTAATGATTCGAACGGCGCCTAAAACGGAGATACGGTTCAAAATTATGGCCCTTACAAAATCTGCCAGAAAACTTGTTGTATGAGTCGACGCAAAACCCTTTATGAGTCAACGTAAAGAGTGAGTCGACGCAAAATTGCGTGACAACACTTCCTTGTCTGGCGGGTTGTCTCGCGCCGACTCCCCTTCAGTTTGAGTCGACTCAAACTTCTAAAATATGGTTTTTTTTCCTGCATTTTAACTTAATTTCCACACGATTTTTCTTATAAAAGACAATACCCATCACTACAAAACATCATGTTTGCCAATTTTATCAATAATCGATCATCCTAACATGAAGGTACTCATTATATTCCATTCAACATATCAATTTTTATCGAATCCATATAATTCTACACAAACCTAACATGTGAGAGTTTAGATCTAGAAATTGAAAATCAAATCACACCTAGCATGTTACTACCCATTGCATACCGTACACGCCCATAATAATAAGGATTCTCTCCGTTACCTCTTAAACATTCACCTCTAGGTTTTTCCTCTTCTCTCTTCCTCTTTCTCGTCTTCTCTTCTTGTTCTTCTCTTCTTTTCACAAAATGAGTTATAATCTATTATCTCTCATAACCCTTACTAACTATGGTTCTCTTATTGGGCTTAGTAATTTACACCTCCCTATTACTTCTATTTCTCATTATTAGACCCAATTAGCTATTTTCTATTCTTACTCATAAACTCAATTATTCAAATAACACATATATTCTAATAATTCAAATATTCACCAAATCACACAATTAAATTAATTATCATAAAATAATTAAATAATACTAAATATAAATCGGGATGTTACAACTCTCCCTCACTAAAAAGATTTTCGTCCTCGAAAATTACCTCAAACGAACAACTCAGGATACAAATTCTTTATCTGACTCTCAAACTCCCAAGTCACATTACCATCTACCGATCCTCCCCAAACCACTTTTACCAAAGCGATTTATTTACCTCTAAGTTTCTTTACTTCCCTATCCTCCATCCGTATAGGTGATGTTTCAACGGTCAAATTATCCCTTACTTGCACATCATCTAATTTGACAACATAGGACGAATCTGCAATGTATTTCCTCAACTGAGATACATGAAACACATCTTGAAGATTAGCCAGTGATGGTGGCAAAGCAATCCGGTATGCCACTTCACATACTTTCTCGGAAATCTGATAAGGACCAATAAAATGCGGCATAAACTTACGCAACTTTAGAGCTCTACCAACACCAGTTACCGGAGTAACCCTCAGAAATACATGATCATCCTTCTCAAACTCAAGCGCTTTCCTCCTCTTATCATGATAACTCTTTTGACGACTCTGAGAAATCCTCATATTTTCTCGAATCATCTTGATCTTATCCATAGTCTGTTGAATTATCTCAAGTCCAACCATGACACTCTCACCAGATTCATACCAACAAAAAGGCGTCCTACACCTTCGTCAATACAAAGCCTCAAACGGTGCCATTCCAATACTCGAATGGAAACTGTTGTTATAAGTAAACTCAATCAAAGGCAAGTAACTTTCCCAAGCACCTCTTTGATCCAAACCACAAGCTCTCAAAAGATCCTCAAGTGACTGAATAATCCTCTCAGTTTGACAATCTGTTTGCGGACGATACACCGAACTCAAACACAACTTCGTACCCAAAGCACTTTGTAGACCTTCCCAAAAATTTGAAGTAAACCTCGGATCTCTATCGGAAACAATACTCAACGGAACAACATGCTACCTCACAACCTTCTCAATATACAACTTAGCAAATCTCTCCATTGGATAATCCATCCTAATTGGAACAAAATGAGCATATTTCGTCAATCTATCTACAATGACCCAAACAACATCACAATTACTCGGAGTCCTCGGGAAACCCGAAACAAAATCCATAGAAGGGTTATCCCACTTCCACTCAGGAATGGATAACGGTTGCAACAACCCAGACGGTTTCTGATGTCCAACCTTAGACTTCTGACAACTCAAACAAGAATACAAAAACTCTGCGATATCTTTCTTCATACCTGACCACCAAAATAATTTCCTCAAATCTTG